CTTCCCACACTTCAAGCGCGAGAAACAGCACATGTCAGCAGCGAGCTCGATTAATTTCGGGCGACGCTGATGACGTCAGCACAATTTCTCGCGCAAGAAAAATGCCTGACGTCAGCAGCGACGTTCGAGATTTCGCGCAGGTTTCAATGCTGACGTCATCATCGATACCAGAAATTTCGCGCTAAAATCTGACGTCATCACCTCCCTTGTTGTAAAACTGTTCAAATGATACATCAACAACATCTATAACTGTAAGGAAATTCCCTTTTCCTTACTTCGGATCCCTGCTCAACGCGTACATCACTGTAGCACCTCAGTCAGCACCGTTACCACTCGCGACCATCGCATCATTCATCATCCCGCCATTTTCGCACATCGCATCCCGACCTCACGGCTCGGCTGGTAACCCGCGCTCCGGGCCTACGCTTCGACACTTTCCCAACCTCAGTCCCAGGCTCGTCGCGCGACCATTACTGTTACCACTATAGTTTCGCTATATATTGTTCGTTCATGCCTTCGCTCATTGTACTCTTGCTTCGATAGTGCAATTCTCGTTCGTTCACTCAATTGCACTCGTAACACTTGGTATTCAGAGCCTACGATCTCTTCTCGGACCGCATCCACACCTTCGCAACGACACTGGATGGGCACGACATTTTATTGGGATGTGATTGGCTGCGACGGTACAACCCACAGATTGACTGGACGACGGGGAGCTGCACAGTGCGAAGTAGTGGTAACTGGGTTGTTCTACCTCGCTGGCAGCCACCCGAATCTTCGACGGTCCAGGTCAACGCCATCACGATGAAACGGGTTGTCGCTGCTGGAGCTGACGTGTACGCAGTGGATATCGCGCTAGTAGAAAAAGAGGAGCAGCGAAGTGATTTAGAGAAACAATTGGCAGCCGTACCGACCGAACTACAGGCACTACTGAAACGGTTCCCGGGGATATTTCCGGATGATTTACCATAGGGACTGCCACCTCAGCGGGCGCACGACCATAGGATCGAGTTGGAACCGGGGGCACAGCCAACTGTACAGCGACAATTTCGACTGACACAGCCCGAGCTCGACGAGTTACGGAAGCAGTTAGATTACCTGTTAGAGAAGCAGTTTATCCGACCGAGCTCGTCGCCATTCGCCGCACCGATACTGTTCACACCGAAAAAAGACGGAAGGTTCCGCATGTGCATCGACTACCGAGCGCTTAACAGGGTAACAGTCAAATCGCGATACCCCATCCCCCGCGCCGATGAACTGATCGACCAATTGCGAACAGCACGAGTCTTTTCGAAAATAGATTTACGGGGAGGTTACCATCAGATTCGGGTCGAACCATCGGACTGCGCCAAGACAGCATTTAGGACTAGATACCGGTCATTCGAGTATACAGTGATGCCTTTCGGGCTGACCAACGCGCCTGCAACATTTCAGATGACCATGAACGAGGCGTTTAGGCCACTTTTAGATAAATGCGTGATAGTTTACCTCGTCGATATCCTCGTTTACAGTCGGATCTTGAAGCAGTTACTCACCAAGGGCTCCAAGTGCGAGTTTTTTCGGGACAGGCTAGAGGTTTTGGGTCACGTCATTTCGGAGGCTGGGGTTGAGATTGACCCAAAGAAGCTGGATACAGTAAAAGCGTGGCGCCCCCCGACGAACATCACGGAACTACAGAGTTTTTTAGGTTTTGTTAATTACGTTCGACGGTTCGTCCCCGACATGGCACGTTTAACAACCCCGCTCACTGATTTACTGCGTAAGGGGATCGCATTTACGTGGGGGGAGAAAGAGCATGCTGCCTTCTCTGCCTTGAAAAACGTTCTCTGTTCACCACCCGTCCTTTGCATCGCTGATCCACACCGCCCCTTCGAAGTGGTTACAGACGCGAGTGACATCGCCATCGGAGCTGTACTGTTATAGGACTTCGGAAACGGCCTCCAACCCATCGCCTACGAATCATGCAAGCTACATCCGCCTGAGCGAAATTACCCGATACACGACCGCGAAATGCTCGCGATCGTGCATGCATTCAAAGTGTGGCGCTGCTACTTGACCGGCGCAGACGTGACAGTACGGACAGACCATCGTTCTCTACAGTACCTCCGCGCACAGCCCCACCTCAACCCACGACAGATTCGATGGCTCGACTTCCTCGAGTCGAACTTTCACTACACGGTCACATACAAAAAAGGAGCCTCAAACATCGCCGACGCACTGACCCGCCCCACTGCCCAGATCCATGCAATACTACTCGCTCAGACCAGCCCGCTACTGACAGGCCTATTTACCCACGGATATCAAACAGACCCATTCTTCATAGGAGGCAATTCACAGCAATTCGCAGCAGCCAAGGGCATCTACTACGTAAAAGCTGGAACCGACCGCATCTGGGTACTAGGGTACACGTTACTACGGGAACTATTATTACAGGAGGCACACGATGACGTTACCTCAGGACATTTCGGGGTAGAAAAAACAAGGCAGCAGCTGCAGCGGTACTACTACTGGCCAGAAATGTTGACCGATGTGCAACGACACGTGGCATCGTGTCCCACTTGCCAGTTCATGAAGTCAAGCAGGAAGCGGCCAGTGGGACAATTACAACCCATCCCGCCTCCAGAGCGTGCTTGTTACGATGGACTTCGTCACGGGGTTACCAGCTGGGGCGAGTGGGAATGAAGCGATCCTGGTCGTCGTCGATCGACTAACGAAGATGGCACATTTCGCAGCATGCAGGAAATCAATCACAGCCGAAGAAACCGCCCGACTGTTTATCACCACCGTCGTTCGACTGCACGGGATACCAGCGTCGATCATCAGCGACAGGGACACGAAATTTACCAGCAACTTCTGGCGGAACCTGTGGCATCAGTTCGGCACGCGCTTACAGTTCAGTTCATCCTATCACCCCGAAACCGACGGACAGACAGAACGGACAAACCAGACCATGGAGCAGGTGATTCGAGCCACGTGCGACGATCCGAACACGTGGGAACAGCAACTGCCCCTCATCGAGTTTGCATACAATAACGCGCCATCAACCACGACACAACAATCGCCGTTTTACTTGAATTACGGACAGGACCCAACAGTACCCATGACACCGAATCCCGACAATCCCGTCCCACGAGCACAACAGTTCGCCAAGATTCTGCAAGCAGCACGGACCAGGGCAGCAGAAGCAGTAAAAAAATCAAATATCATCGCTAAACGCAACGCCGATCGCCACCGCAGACCCGTCACTTACCAACCCGACGACCTCGTTTTACTCGACACTCAGAACCTCCGCCTGCCCATCACTCCCAAACTCCGCCCTCGATACTGTGGGCCATTTCGAATCAGTCACATGATCACGCCTGTCACCGCGCACCTCTCCTTCCTGCTGACTGGTACGTCAGCCCCTCATTCCACGTCAGCCTGCTTCGCCCTTACGTACCATCCACCAGCCAACTCCCACGACATCGACCCTCCAGCATGACACGACCACCAACCGAACCAGTCATCACCCCCGATAAAATCCTGAGCCACGGAGTTCGTGACCCTCGAGGAGTCCGAAAAGTGGAGTTTCTGATCCGCTGGAAAGATCGTACCCCCACCGAGGACAACTGGGTTCCCCTGGACAAAGTCGAAAACCACCCTGTCGTCACGGACTATCTGCGCAGCCGAAACTTCAGAGACGTCCACGCACTTTCGTAAGGAGGACCTCCTTAGGAGGGGGGGGGTAGTGTAAGGAAATTCCCTTTTCCTTACTTCGGATCCCTGCTCAACGCGTACATCACTGTAGCACCTCAGTCAGCACCGTTACCACTCGCGACCATCGCATCATTCATCATCCCGCCATTTTCGCACATCGCATCCCGACCTCACGGCTCGGCTGGTAACCCGCGCTCCGGGCCTACGCTTCGACACTTTCCCAACCTCAGTCCCAGGCTCGTCGCGCGACCATTACTGTTACCACTATAGTTTCGCTATATATTGTTCGCTCATGCCTTCGCTCATTGTACTCTTGCTTCGATAGTGCAATTCTCGTTCGTTCACTCAATTGCACTCGTAACAATAACTGTAAACAAAGAAAACAACCTACAAAATCCAATACTCATATAAATGTTCTTACTATAATATAGAGAAAGCAAGTCTACCACGTATACCACATAAATACTCAAAAAAACAATTAAAATCTTCAACTCATCATTCACATAAGGACATAAAAATGGTACCCATATGTTTTATCTGAATACGACAAGTAATCAACGTCGTTAATAGATCTTTTGGCATGTTACAATTGTTGCTTCGCAACCCTAAGACGATTTCGTCGCCTCTTGTTTTCATTTTCTTTTTCTTTTCCTTTTCCTCTCTTCCGCAGTCACCAATTAGGGAGTGGTGAGCATGGCGGACGTGGCAATGCATGTGGTGAGGGAGGCAGCAAGGCCAGCAGCGCTCAAGGCGGGGGTGGTGAGCCTCATCGGCAACTCGCCCGAGGGGCTCTCGCTCTGGGTCACCTCCACCTCCACGCCGTGAGTTGCAAGTAGCGAGCCTCATCATCCCTGCCCCGAGTCCCTTCGTGAGTTGTGAATTACAAGTCTGGAGTCTCATTGCTGCACCTTGCTGCTCCACATGTTACGCGAAGGAGGGTCAGCTTACTCGCCTGGTCGGCACAACTGATCCAAGGACGCCGCACAAGCAGAGAGTGATTGTTCGCAGAATATTGGCATGCGAGAAAAAGAAGGACTCCAACAAAATCAGGAGTGCATGGTCAACACATCCGATCGAGGTGGGTGTACCTCGTGTATAATGTTCCTGCTGATGCCAATCGTATTTTACAGCCGTTGCATTGTATGTTGCCATATGCTCAGTGCGTCCTTCAACGATGGAACTTCGCGGACACCGATTGGGGAAACGTGTACCTGGCATGCCTCGCCGACACCTTGCACGTTCTGGACTCTGGGGTGTTCATCCACATGATGGATGAATTCCTGTCCACGCTAGGACTGGCTGAAATGCGCATCTTGGAGAGGTGAGGTTGGATTGTGAGTGTCGGGGTTTTAGCATGTTGATACCTGCCAAGACCCACTGTTGAACATTGTTTGATTTGGTGGGCATGACGTTCTCTACATCGCAGGCGCAAGAAAGGGGTAAAACGAGACACGCCTAGCGTCGTCCTTCGCATACCTGGAGGGAACTCGTTTTTCCGGTCCGGCACTAACTACACGGCATTTGAACACCGGAGCATGATGCAGATCGTGCCCATACTAATCGCAGATGAGACTGCTACCAAGATGGACGAGGCTGGCGAGCCGAGGGTTTCTTACTTTGGGTTGCAAGAAAAATTAGCACCTTTTTTACCCTAACCCATCGTCCCCTGCTCTCCATATTTCTCTCCCCCCTCTACCACCCAGGTTAGTACACGCCTTGGAGCCGCTAAGCAAGGGCATTCACACTCTCTTCCCGCCTCTCTCTCCCCTTCCTCTCCTCTCTCCCTGTCCTGCCATCCTAGTAGACGCTATGGAGCCGCTAAGCAAGGGCATTCACACTCTCTTCCCCCCTCTCTTTCCCCCTCCTCTCCTCTCTCCCTGCCCTGCCAGCCTAGGAGACGCCATGGAGCCACGAAGCAATGGCATTCACCGCCTGCTCGTGCACTGCCCCATTGCCCCCGCTGCTATCACCCCCCAACACGTCCCTTCCTCTACTGCTCCTCCAACTATCATGACCTTTGGCCACACCACGCCTGAAGCACTTGAGACAGAGGGAGGAAACACCGGCAGAAGGAGCAACCGAAAGAGAAGAAGCAACAGCAAGAGCAGGAACAGCAGCAGCAGCAGCAGCAGCAGATGTTGCTAGGCCGGCGACAGGAGCAGAAACAACAGCAGAAGAACCACCCCTGGCTCTCAAGCACTCCTACCACTTCGTCTCGGAGACTGACGTGGCAGCCTTCCTGCTGCTCCACGTGGACGCCCTAGGTGACGTGGCACAGCGCACAGTGGAGCAGCTGGGCCTCGCGGACCCGCTCTTCCCGCCCCTCGCTATAGTGTCGAGCATTACAGTCACTGCCGCGCTCAGGCTCATGCAGCGCGCGGGAGGTGTGAGAGCAGTGGCGGTGGTGGCAAGGAGTGCGGAAGAGGAGGAGCGGATGGAGGAGGGCGAGGGGTATGGTGCCTCCTCTGCTGCTGATGCTGGTGCTGGTGATGGGGCAGGAGGAAGGGGAGGAGGAGGGGGTGGGCCAGGGAGAGGGAGGGAGAGGGGTGAGGCGGGGTGGGCGAGAGGGGGCCGGCTGCTGGGCCTTTTGTCGGTATCAGATCTGAGAGGCATGGACGCGGTGACGCTAGCACAGCTGACATCCATGAAGGTGAGGGTTGCTCCACTCACGTGCGCTTGTAAAGCCGCTTGACATGAAACATGTATGCTTGGATGTCACACATGTAGGTATACCCCATGCCCCATGTATGTTGTGTGCTGGTTGGTTGTGTGGGGTCGTGGAGGCATGGGTGGAAGCTATTGATCCTGTATAGCTCGCGTGCATCAAGGGTGGGAGATGGGTGGTGTTGGGTGGGTGATGGGTGGGTGAGGTGTTACAGTCAGCGGGTGCACACGACACGAGAAAGGTGGCAACTCTCTCACTGCTGTTTACGCTTGATACTAGAAGCACCACCCTTATGTGCTCCACATCTCCTCTGCTTTTTCTTATTCTGTTCTCTTGTTCCCTCGACAGCCAACCCCCCTAACCCACAGGCGCGGGACTTCCGGGCGCACATGACATCTTTATCCCCCGAGGGTCACCGGCCGTCCATCACGTGCTGCATGGCGGCGCCTCTGGCTAAGGAGATGGCAGTGGCAGCCACTTGACCAACTACGTGGACCATTCCATCTCATCCCCACCGTTCCCCCTCCCCCCCACAGGTGCGGGACTTATGGCATCGCTCACCCCCGAGGGTCGGCGTCCGTCCATCACGTGGGGCATGGTGGCGCCCCTAGCGGTGGGAGTGACAAACCGCGTGTGGGTCACCGGGGAGGACGACGAGCTACTAGGTGTGGTTTCCCTCTCGGATGTCATCTCTGCGTGTAGACGGGCAGGTGGACAGAGGTAGGGTGGTGGGGAAAGCATGACTGATGGCACTGGCAGTGACCAACCGCGTGCACCGCGTGTGGATGACCGGGGAGAACGATTAGCTGCTAGGTGTCGCTGAGTGATGTCATCTCTGCTTGCAGACGGGAGGTGGGCAGTGTTAGGGCAGCGTTAGGGCAGCAGCGAGAAGGCAGATAAGAGGGGTTGACGAGGAGATTGGATCAGGGTGGTTGGACAGGGGAGTGGACAGGGAGGCAATGCAAGGCCGAGTGGGCGCTACTGGTTGGGTGGAGGAGAGGGCAAGTGGAGGTGATGGCGCTGGCAGTGACCAGCCGCGTGTGGGTGACTAGCGAGGGTGACGAGCTGTTGGGGGTTGACTGATGTCATCTCTGCTTGTAGGCGGGCAACGGCAGGGCGTCGGTAGGGTTGCAGGGACGAGGGATCCAGGGGGAGATGGAACCGATATTATATCTCCCCTCTTCTGGACTGGACAGAGTGAAGTGGCTGGGGGGGGGCGGTGGAAGGGTGGATAGTTGATGGGAAAGCATGAGTGCTGCTAACCAACTGCTTGTATATGGACGCTTTAAGCACTGAATTGTATGCTCCCATATGTTCCAACATGGAATGTGAAATCACAAACATCTAATGTGGAAGGGTGAGTGAGGCAGGGTGTGTGGCAAAGTTATGCAGAGATGTTTGCAAAGCATGGGGAGAACACAGTTTTCCCCAAATGTATGTGCTTCTCTTATGGAGCTACACTGGTATCAGTATGGCATGGCAACACGACAATTAACTGAAGGACTTCGTTATCATCATTATCAGAGTTGGGGGAAAAGAGATGATCAAAAGGCAAAAGGCTTGAACAGACAGCACTAGAGTGATGAGTACAAAAGGACTGTCAACTACGAGGCAATGAGAGGTGCGCGCAGAGACTGGACACACACTGCACAGCTAAAACACCAGTCTTCTTGATAAAACAAAAGGCCCATTGTGTTGGAAACAACTAATTCTAAGCGCCTCTGTCGTGTCGGAACACCAAGGCACAAGCGAAGCACAACATATCGCTACATCAGCGAGTCAACCCTCGGAGGTTGAGCAACTGCTGGACGTTACGCGAAAGTCAAAGGTCAGCGACCCTTGACCTGACAAGTACAGCGCGACAGCAAGGACACACAAGTGACCCGCTACCGAGCAGTTGCCCGAGTCGTCACTGTATCGAACCGCAACAGCAACAGTAAAGAAGTTATAGCTATGTCTCTTCATATTCCTTGTACTCTTATAAAATACTGTATCTCCTTGCTTAAATCAATCAACTTTGCCCTCACATACTAGCGCAAGGTGGTTTACAACTCATTATTAAAACGCTTCCGCTACTACACCAGTCCTACCCAGAGTTCACCCCTGCAAAGGTCCTAAGGGCTCTTCTCAGCCCAACACATTGTTAGGCCCTCAGATTGGTTTCAGGGCATGCTGATCGATCAGTGTGCAGTGTCCAAAGTGGTGCCCAAATCAGCCTTGGGGGTAAAATTTATGCTGATTTATTCAGTGTTAATTATAAAGGCAAACTAAATTCATCGCACATACCGAGTGGTGTTGCTGGCGTACGGTAGTTGTTTGGGTTCTATCTTGTAATCGCGAAGATCTCGGGTTCGATTCCCGTGGACGGGAACTACCTGAGAGGGCTGCGGATTTTCTTTTGCGGGAATCCTGATTTGAACACCCCTTGTACACCCATACCCTATCATGTCCAAATCAGTGTGACTCGGTAGACTATACTGATTCGTCAGTGTTACGTGTACAGCAACATTGGTCAGTGTGACAAGATAGGTTTGAGAAAGTTAGAATGAGAATGAAATGACTAAGTGAAAGTTGGGTACAAATACAAACCCTAGAAAGCTGTACCCCATATGTGCTACCCCACTATAGCCTACAATAGCTATGTCATATATATCAGACACACCCCCATTGGCAAAGTGGGGGAGTACAAGGGGTCACAAGACCAGTCAAGCAGAGCAAAGCAAAGCAAGCTCAGGGTGGATCACAAAGTCACCACACAGTCCGAGCACAAGGTCAAGGCCACAAGGCCAGTTCACATGCAGGAGTGCACATATATATATAAGGCTAAACAAGTAAGAGCAGGTATATATATATATATATATATATATATATATATATATGTAAGAGTACAAGCAAGGTCAAGGGGTGAGCAAGTGAGGCAAGACAGGGACAAGACCCAGCTGAGAGCAGAAGCGCTGATAATCACAAGGTGGAAGTGCCTTGGTGAAAACATCAGCAGTGTTGGCCTCAGAGGCCACGTACGCAAGCCGCAACTGACCACGCTGCTGTAGCTCACGAGCAAGGAAGTAGCAAAGAGCAATGTGCTTTGTTCTGTGCTCCAGTCTCTGCTCTCGACACAAGGCCAGCATGGCCTTGTTGTCTACGTACAGGACTGGAGGAGAACGAGGCGGCTCTCCAAGGTCGGTCAGCAGGTATGTGAGCCAGCGAAGCTCCTGTGCAGCCATGGCCCCGGCGTAGATCTCAGCCTCACAACTGTAGCCGAGAACAGAAGACAAGCGAGTAGCCCGCCACAAAACAGAGCCAGAACCAAGGCTGAAGGTGTAACCCTGTGACAACCGCTGCGTAGCCTGGTCGTCAGCCCAAGACGCGTCCGCGTGCTCAGTGAGGACCACTAGACTCCGCCCTCCAAGCACTAGCCCCTTGCCCGACGTACTGCACAAGTAGCGCAACACCCTCTTCGCTGCAGCCATGTGCTCTGGTCGGTGTCTCCCAGGAGCAACATAGCGTGCAAGAATGCTAAGAGGGTATGCAAGGTCAGGTTGTGTGCAGGTCATCAGGTACATGAGGCAGCCAACAAGCTCTGGGTACGGGCCACTCGACTCTACGGACTCATCCGAAGGCAGAGCTGAGAGCGAGTGGCGAGTAGACAGAGGAGTGGCATGAGGCGAGGAGTACGTGAAGCCGAAGCGCTGAAGGACCTGCTGCACCATGTGTGACTGAGTCAGGGTAATGGTGCGGCGTGCTCTGTCCTGGGTGATCTGCAAGCCAAGGTAGCTGCGCAGTTCACCCACGTCTGTGCACGTGTGTCTTTTCTACAGCTCGAACTTCATGTGGGCGAGTCCAGTAGTGTCAGCAGTGGCAAAGACCAAGTCGTCGACGTACACGAGGATGTAGAACGGCGGCAAAGAGGTGTCGGTGCGTAGAAAGAGCGACGGGTCGGCACTAGAGGGAGCAATCCCAAGAGCCGCAAGCGTAGTCCTCAGTGTGTCGTGCCACTCACGCGGTGCCTGGCGGAGAACGTAGACTGGCCGTCGGAGGCTCCACTGGGTGCCAGGAGGAAAAGTCCCAGTGAAGCCAGGTGGACGGCGCAGCCAGATCTCCTCGTGCAGGCTACCCTTCAAGAAAGCATTGCAGAAGTCAAGGGAGTGAAGCTCGTAGTCACGCTGAGCGGCTATGTGCAGCAGCACCCGAAGAGTGGTCATCTTCGGGGTGGGAGAGAAGGTCTTAAAGTAGTCAACTCCCTGCCGCTGACTGAAGCCACGAGCCACGTACCGCGCCTTGAAGATAGATGGAGAACCTGGCGGCCGCTTCACCCTGAAGATCCACATGCCACTGACGATATTCGCCCCAGGTGGGGGAACCGCGTCAACGTAGGTGCCTGTGGACTTCCAAGAAGCCATCTTTGCATCCATAGCTGCTTGCCACTGAGAGGAGCAGGGACCCTCTACGGCCTCCGCGTAAGAGCGCGGAGTCGGGATGTCAAGTGCATCCGGGTGTCCCTCAGGGGTAAGCAGTACGGACACGAGATGGGGTGAAGCAGCAGCTAGACACTGGAACTCCTCCTGCCTGTCCTCAAGGACGTCCGTGCCAAGAGCACACTCACCCCCAACGGACGGAGGACAGACAGGCGCAGACTCAGCAACAAGACTAGCAGCGTAGTCTAGACGACAGCGAGCAGCAAAGTCGACGAGCTCAGCAACAAGAGCAGACGCAGCAGTGGACTCAAAAGAGGGGTGAGTGACGACAGTAGCAAGGAGACGCGTGACAGTAGGACTGGCAGCACGAAGAGAGTCCGACTCCGGGTCGGCAAGTGCAGGAAGAGAGGACGCAGGAGGAGAAGGCAAAGGGACACGCAGAGGAGTAGTGGACGGACGCAGAGACATCCGGTGCGTGCCAGGGATAGGAGGAGGACGTTGACGCGAACTGCGACCACAAGCGCGAGCAGCACGAACAAGCGACGCAGGACGAGACGCAGGCTCACGACGCTCAGCAAGACCTTGAGTAGGACCGGTGTAGGGAGAGGGAGCAGGCAGTGGGGAGGTGGACGGTAACTGTGACTGTGACTGGACTGGCGGCGGACACTCTACAGGAGGAGGAGGACCAAGAACCTGCTGAAGGAGCGGAACGAAGTACGGCCGAGGCCGCGCGGCGACTCCAGACACAGCAGGGACAGCACCCGCACCCTCAGCACCTCGAGCACCTCCAGTACCCTCAGCACCTCCGGCAGCACCAACGCCAACAGCACCTCCAGCATCACCAGCAGCACCCGCAGTAGGACCGCCGCCAGGACCGACAGCAGTAGCCTCAGTGTCAACACCCTCAGCAGCCCCAACTCCAGTCGGACGAGCACCTCCGAGACCAGCGGCACCAGCACCCTCAGCGGCCGAAGAAGCTCCAGCTCCAGCAGTACGCCGCCAGCGACAGGCAAACCACTCGCACAACTCCTGTGGAGAGAGCGGCTCTCGCCGAGAAGAGCCAGGAG